ATCAATCTCCATTTATCTTTATTCATTAAAGCCTCCGGGTTCCAATTCCTTTTTAAGTGTCTTTTATGTTTTCCAAGAATTCTGCTTGGAAGCAAAGAGGCCTCAGGCATCTAGTAGCAGAGTCTGAGATAGGCATCAATTTCTCACTTGTCACAGACTGTTCCTCCCAACAGCAGTCACAAGGCACCACTTTTCAAGACACAACTAAGATTTCTAAAGTTGCCTACAGGCATGTGCACCCTGTCTGCCTGCCATCAACAGCATTCTCCTGCGGTGGGAGTGACTTGGAATGTGACCTTACCGTTATCTGGCTATGAAGCCTGGCTGTCAAAGATTGAACACACACTGCCTCCTCATAAGCTTTACTTTTTTGTAACATTTCCATTCACATCTTTTATTGTTTTAACAAGTTAAGGCATTAAGAAGGTAGGATTTGTCCAAAAAGTGAAAAAGCATGGAAAGTGGACCAGGAACTTGCCAAATGAGGCTAATTCAAATGCAGAATGCCCTGGGGCATTGAGAAGCCATTTGAAAAGTTAACATATTTGGAAAGTAGTTTATGGCAAAATAATTTTCAAGATACTGGTGATTTAGAAAATGTAAAAACAGCAAAATGTGCTTTGGACATCTCATGTCTTGGAAAGCTTGGTTTACCTGCCTTTGACAGATGATAGAACGGGTGCCCACTTAGAGAGTGGTTCATTTAGCTTGTTTTGCTCAAGTTGGAGCCAATAGCCCTAATGTCTTAAAGGATCACTGGTGGACCAGTCTGGAAGGCAATTAATCAGTCTGATCTTTAAGCTCTGTTCTACCACTGATTTGCATAGAGACCTTGAAAATATCACTTATTCTCTGGAAGAAGACAGAGAAACGGTATTCTTTGCTCCAAAAATACTTCTCAGTGGAAATTCTCAGAAACCCATCCAAGATAATTAAAATAAAGAGGAGAGTAAGTGGTATCAAAATGATTCAGGGTATCATATCTATATTAATATACCTAAGCCTCATGGGGACTGGAATGAGAACTAAGGAGTTTGTCAGAGACCAAGACAGATAGTCTCTTCTGTCTCTCTCTCTCTCCACATGGATTCTTATCATTGCTTTCCCTATAAATCTGCTTCTTTCTGCAAACAGACTTTCTTTCCCTCCCCTTTTCTCCAGTCCATCTGAGCACCAAATCTAAGGTCATAGAATTGAGCTGCTTTCAGAGGCATCTGGAATTCAGATCTGTCACCACTGTAGAAAGAATTACTATACAAGATGTGCTTCAAAAAGTTCATGGAAGGATTCATATTGCCTTTTAACTCTACTTTTCCATGAACTTTTTGAAGTACCCTTGTATTCACTGAATATTGCAGGATCCAAATTATAATAATGTGCTCAGCCAGTTCCTAACAGTGATGATGGCTGGGTCAATAAGATATTGTCACCTTGAATCCACGGGAAAATAGTCACCAGAGTGTATGAAATTGGAGCACTTTGTATCTCCCTGAGTTTTGTATGTCAGGCTCTATTATAATTGACCTTTATTAATAAGAATCCTCTCAATTGATCAAGGGCTCACCTGGTATAAGAATCATGGTTAAGAAATAAGGCTATCTTAAGAATGTTTAATATAAAAAATGCCTGGGAGTCAAGAAAAACTCATATGAAAGCTGTTATATAGATATATATTTAATCATGATATATGTGGTCGTGGTTACAGATATATATTTGGTGCTTTATTTATCAAGAAGCATGAGTCACTCAGTACATAACATATTGGATACAAAAATCAGAAGATAAACACAATTGTTTCTGAATTAAAAATTTATGGGATAAATGCTGACAAATGGATTTATAAACCTTTCATTTCTACTCCATTCTCCTGGCTGTGTCTCCTGAAGATGAATTGTAAGTTGCAGCATTTTAAAAAATTTTGTTCTCTCAAATCTCGATACTAAATGATATAAAAAGGACGTCTGGCAAAAATTATCCAGACTACTCATCTTCACTGGCAAATTTCTCAGTATTTCCCTTTGTTTTGCCTATGCCTTAGCCTGTATTCTTTCCTGTATAGGCAGTCAAATGCTTTTAATGTATTCATTATTACCTAATTGTGGACAGACCCAACTACTTCCTCTTGCAGGGAAAGAAGAGAAAGGGAGCTATATGGGTAGGAAGGAAAATCTCAGGTGAGAGAACGAGCAACTTGGAAGAGGCTTATTAAACTGGATATGAATGTTAAGCAGTTGATTTGCAGATTCTAGGAAAATAATAAGATTATTATTAAACTATGAGGTAAGGGACAATGGTACGAGGATATATATATATATATATTTTGTCTGTCATTCTCTGCTACAAATTTCCATTCAAAGCCATGAATGTCTCTTCAGTTGGAAGAATTGACCTTTTCAGTTCCATGATGGTTAAATGATGCTGGGGAAAGGATTTCTTTGGATATCCATTGCTCTGGACCTATTTGATGAAAAGTGATGGTAACATGAACAGCAGCTGATAAACTGTTAACTAAAAAGCCTTGTACTAAGCAAGTGTTAAATACATACTGTCTAATACAAGGAAGAGACTAGAGAGGTCTAATGACAATTCAGTCAGGATATGCACTGAGATGCACTGAGATCTTATGTCCAAAACCTACATAGAGTTGTCCAGTCCTTGGGTTTAAATACCAGGATTTTGGAAACTGAGTTCTCCACTCTCTGCTTTCTGGCATGTGCAAGCCAAATGGGAGGTGGAAGGATATCCTCCATATTTGTTCTTTTCTCTAATGAAGGCTCTGTGGGATGTTAAAATGCATTTTCTCTTCTAGCTGCACTGTGAGTCAAGAAATGCCTTCCTGCAAATCTGAAAAGTGACAGCAAGAAGCAGTTTGATTTTTCAGTCAAGCTAAACTGCTCCTAATGTTTCCTAGCAAATGGATTAATTTCACAGGTCTGGGCACATTTTTACCACTTTCTTTCTCTCCTTTTTTTCTTTTTCTTCTCTTGACTCATTCTCTCCCAAACTTGCTAAATTCCCAAGAAACAAAGAAAATGGCCTGCTAAAGGGAACAGTGTCAGGAGTAAAGATCATTTCCCCCAAATATAACTAGACTTTTAAATGATTATCAAATTATCAAATTTGTGATGAGATAGCTCAGCAAAGCCCTAGAAGGAATGCTCATCAAGTGATTAGCTAATGGGCAGGTTTTTACTGAAACTTCTGGACAACTACTACTCTTTGAGACATAATTAATAGCTCCATCCCATTGAAATGGACTGTGTGCAGAGAACACACCAGGTCGAAGCCATGGCTTTGTAAAAGATGAAAATAAAAACAATTTATTTTACCAAGTTCTTCTCTTTATGCATTAAAAACTGAATTCTACTTAAAGTATAATTTATATGGTAGAAAATTGGAGTACACAGGGTGTGAGAAGTGGGGCACAAAATGTTTCCATACATTTGACTCTATTTATTTGAAATCAAGTTATTAAAATGGCATAGTTAGTTCTACATTTCAGAACGAATCTCACTGGGAGAAAGAATGGGTGTGTGTGTGTGTGTCTGTGTGTGCAGGGGGAGGGCTGTTCACATGAAGCACTACTTTAGCAAATGAACATAAACATAGCCTTCTAACTTACTCTAGAGTTGATAATCTGTCTCTTTTTCCTGGTCTAATTTACGTCTTAATCTGATCCCAACACCAAACTATGTCAAACCCAGACAGAAAAACTTAGGTTATGGGCCATTATCTGGGCTAATCTTAGGTTTGTCTCCAGAAGAGAAACATATACTCCTATTTCCATTGACCACAATTTGGTTCCACCACTTTTCTACATCCAAAATCCACTTATGACCGTAGCTACATTTTCACAAGGAAGGAAAATGCAAGAACCACAGGGCTCTTGCATGAAGCTTCATATTTTCCCAGGCAATTTACTCTAGGGAAAGTGGAGGCGGGGGAGGAGAGGAAGGGAGTGATAAATAGATGTTACACACTTTTTTCCCCCTGGTAAGATCATCCCGCTTTTTCTAACTTCCCAGAATTAAAAGAATATATTTTCTTTGTGCTACTATGGAAACTACTAGTAACACAGGTTTTTCTTTTTCTTTTCTTTCTTTTTTTTTTTTTCTCTTTCTCTTTTCTAAGTTTCAGAAAACTGTCAAAGACTTTCAAATAAAAAGCTCATGGAAAAATGGAATTAAAAGAGAATACGAATCTTTCTATGAACTTTTTGAAATACCGTCATATATATAGATATATATGAATATAGATAAATATAGATATGTAGGTATAATGTCCCATTTAATTATATGTAGATATAATATAAAGAAGGGTATTCCTTCTTTCATTGTTTTCGTAGCCTTCATAGCCCTGTCTTCTTGGTGTCCCTTCCTGCCTCTGCCTCCTGGGTTCAGCTTATGAAAGGGTGAGGGTCCTTCTTATGATTTACTGACAAGTCTACCCACTTTCATAGGGTGTGCAGACAATTCGTGCACACAGTCAGTCAGAGTTTTCATAACATCAACCATCTGGTTGAGGTCTGTAATATCTAGCTAATTCTCTGGGCATTTTCAAACATGGATACTTCAAATAATGCTAATAAAATATTTGAATTTTTAATTAAATTAAATTTTTTTCCTTAAAATGTTTTGGCATTCAAAAAAAAAAAAAAAACCTCACCTATATTCTTGGTTTTTTTTTAACATTTCTAGCTGTATTAGAAAGTAAAGACTGGTACTTTTTCTACTGATTTGGGGGCACAACAGACAGATGGTGAGGAAGATGGTGTTGGAAGTGCACCCTAGAAATTTTCATCTGAGTTTCTTGCCAGCTCTACACAAATGCATACGATGAGAACCTCATGTCTGCGATGTTGATCTGGCCAAGCTGTGGACTGCTTGATGAAGGAGTTTGTTCAAAGTGGGCAATACAGACAAATATGAATGAGTCCACTAGTAATTGTTGGCAGTATATCTAGTCACTCCAACCCATTTTAGAAGGCAAAATGGCAAGCATTCAGGAAGCACATATTATTCTTTGAAATCACAAAAATAGGGAAAATCCAACAAACATGGTCAGTGTTTACCCAAAGAATAGAAAAACATAGTTGCTTCAGTTTCAATATTCTTAGAAAATAACTGAATAAATGAAAATAACTGAATAAATGAGCTACACACATGGGAAACTCGGACTGTGTAAATGAAAAAGAGAAACAAAGGAAGGAAATACAATACTAAACAATGTAGTCTTCTACTTAAACATTTCAGAATTTTATTAATCCTTTAAAAACCACCTTCCTTCTTTGGAATTAACTCAATATCCTCTCTTGATCTCCCTCATACATGGTTTAGTTTGATTCTATTTATTACTAAATTATGTAAATAATTACTTAATCAAGCCTACTAACGATAGGAAAAATATCTAGCAATACTTATAATAATGGAATACAGAATTAAAAGTTTAAACCTACTAAAAATATTGTGGCCTATCACTGCAGGAAGCAAAACAGTGAGGGAAGATTGGGGTTGCTAAAAGGTCTAAGGACAGAACTCATATGAATTGTATTCAGATTGATTTAGTACAAATACAATGTATTCATGCTTGTATGTCTATAATATCCAGCTAACATGAAGATGCTCTAAGAGAAAGACCAATATTTGAAATAATGTATTTGCTTAAAAAATTAAGTAGTGGCCGCCTCATAAAAATCTTACCATCTTTTACTAAACAAGTTCAGAAATAGAAGGTGATCTCCCTGGATTGGAATTAAACCAATAAGCTCCCTTGAAATTGGTCTTTCTACATCTATATTTATTTTCAGAACAATTTAGGTGATCTATTACCTAAACCCACATTCAATGATATCAGTCTTGTCTTTTATTTCTTTGCCTAAGGAAGAATTTTTCTGTGATTCTGGTTGGTTCTGACAACAAACTGAGTAGAGCTTAATTATGAATGTGGCAGGAAGAAGAAACTGGGAAAGGAAGGTATTTGGACAACAGATAAACATTCAAAACAATGTGGGCAAAAAGAGTAAGCAAGCCTTCCTGGGAGTTTTTCTTTTGAGCCAATTCTTTGTGCACAGCTGCTATGGGAAAATATGTAGGTTACTGGAAAATGCAGTGATATTATGGAGGAAATAACTCAGAATGACTTCATAGCATGACTAAATTACTACTTGATTAACTCCTGATAAAACTCAGAGCGCACAAAGCGAGGCAGCGAATCCTTTTCCATCAGGGCGTGGATTCTCTTCTGGGCCACGTCAAAGCTGCTCAGGGAAGGCTCCACCAGGTTCTTCACTGTGATGTCCTTAGTGAAGTGGTCAATATTCACCTGTGGGCCAGGAAACAGGGTCACTGAGTCAGCCCAGGTTGCAGGATTTGATGAGGGGTGGGGAGAGAGGTGGAATTTCTCACCAATAAAAAACGAGAAGAGAAGAAAGTCATAAAACGTGGAAATATTATTCTATTTTATAGGCAATGAGGTAAGACAATTGATGCTGTCATAAATGGATGACTTAAGTTAAGAACCAATCAGGTAGACACTCACTGGGTGTCAGACCCTCCACTAGCAGCTAACACATACATGTCTTAGTTAATCCTGACAATAGCTCTAAGCATGATTCTTAACCAGAAGGTTAAGTGGCTTCCTCAAGATCATAGAGCTGATAAGTGTATTTGAATCCACAGAATCAGAACTTGAATTCAGGTGTCCTGACGCCTAATTCTGCAATCTTTCTACAACAGCTTTTGGTTTCATGACCAGTGGAGGGTGTGGAGAGGGAGAAAGAAACTCTGACCAGGGATCAAGGACCTTTTGCATGGCTCCAGAAGAGCAAGGAAACTTGGTGTTTACTAAAACAAACTAGAAAACAGTAGTTTTGACAGAATTATAAATACAGCAGCTAATATCCACTAATATTTATTGAGTGCTTAGTCTGTGCCAGGTGCTGTGTTGAGAACTTTACGTGGATGAACTCACTTCATCTTATAATTCTATGAGGCATATACTATCATCTACATTTGACAGTTCAGGAAACAGAGGCACAGAAATATTATGTGGTTTGCCCGAGATCATAAGAGAGAAGATTGAGAAGCCCAGCAATGTGGCTCTAAAGCCTGAGCTTTTAAGTAGTAAATTATAGCACTGGAAGGCAATGTGGCGTCTGTGTCCTGAGTGCAGGGCTCAGCTACATTGCATAGCTCCCGGACATCGTTCTTATTAGTGTCTATGTGAATGGTTCCCCTGGAATTGTATAGGGTACAGCCTTACAAGATTGCCTGAATATGATTTGAAAGGAATATATATACTTCATACTCTGCTGTAATGACTCTTGAGGGGTCTGAGTGTAAAAGAGAAAGAAATAGAATCTGAAGCAGCCAATGGTTCTGGATTAGAACATTGGAAAATGTTTGGGGTCTCCCCTGGGCTGCGACAAGTCTTTGATACTGAACAGAGCTATTTGGGCTCAGTTAGAGTTAGAGACAAAGGCATCATTGGGGAATATGAGCCAGACCAGACAGCAGGACTAAGCTGTGCTTGAAAGCACAGGACAAAGTGAGTTGAGGCTACAGTAAGATTTTCCATAGGTGAAAGGGGCCGTGTGCTTTCTGCAGGCATGGTGGAAGACCAAACTGTCAGAACTGGGAGCAGCCTCAGAGGCGATATGGTCCAGCACCAGCTTTTATGTGTGAAGACACTGAGGCCCAACGAGATCAAGTTACATGCTCATAAACACCTCTGTGGGACAGAGAGGAGGCTGTATGTAGGTTTCTCTATTCTCAGTCTGTTATTCTTCCCTCCACACTATAGCAATCTTCTTCCTTCTCTCATATTAAATCCGCACTGAGCCAGGAAGGCAGCCTTACTTCAAAAAGTTAAATTTCTAAAAAGTATAAAGGTATCTTCTAATCTTATTTTTTTAAAGGAATGATGCATTTAAAACCCTCTAACACATAGTATCCACCAGCAAATAGCAGATATTTTTCTTATTATTTTTATGTGCATAAGCCTCCACTAATGAGTCATTGTGATACATGTTCACCTATTTAATGAGCCAGGAAAATATTATTTTATTAATTTTAAATATGGTTAATTTGCAATGTACAAATTATCTACTTACCAAACAGCATATGGCCATTTCTCTTTTTTAAATCTTAGTTCCAATCCTTACCAGTGTATCTCAGCCAGTTCTTAGTATTAAAGAGCTGAGATGAATATTCAGAAAAAGAAAGATGACTATTTGCCAGGGTGAATTTGTTTCATGGTTCAATCTCATCAGAATGAAATAGTAAATATTTAGGTCAAAATATAAGATTTGAATTTTTTTTAAGTAACAATGGTTACAACTTATTAAACATACTCCAGGTGCACATACATATATATATGTAAGATGTTTAAAGTTAAGAGAACTGAGGATTAGAGAGCTTTAGTGAGAGATGTTCCTAAAGCCACACAATTAAGAAGGCCTGGAATTGGATACTTGCATTCGTCCATCTCACAAATATTTACTGAAGGCTTTGTATGTTCTAGGAGCAGGATTCACTTCCTCTGATGCCCAGCTCAGGCTCTTTATTCTACACTACCCTGGGTTGCCTGTATTTGTTCCCCTACATAAGCATAGATCATTGAGATGGAAGCCATGCGAATCAGAGCCTTGTGATTGGCTCCCACCATTTATTTGTTACAGTAATTCAGGTAGCCAGGGTTTTATTTATTTTGAAATTCTGTTTTTGTTGTCCCATATTTTTATGATAACCAACAATGTGTTAATAGAGAACCTTGAGAACAATGTTGTTTTACAGTTCAGAGCAACTCACAATAGTCTGGATGGGTCTCTACCATTTGCAGATATTTCAACAAATCCTAGAATTCTGTGGACAGAAACTAAGTTGATAGAAAAGCAGATCGAAAATTGGAAATCCACTTGAAATGGGGAAATGTGTGTCCAATTTAACACTAAATTAATCTCCTTGTTAGCATAGACTGAGAGATTCCATGCTGACAGAAGACGGGATGGCCCAACACAGATGGCATCCTTCAGAAGTAGGAGAGAGCTGACATACGTGCTTGGGGCGGGAGGTTGAGGGGTAGAAGGGGAGATCTTGAGACAATTACAAATTTAATGTCCACAGCAAGACTAAACCTAGGTCCCTTCTAAGTCCTTTTTATTTTCTTGACTGTGACCCATGGTACTCTACACTCTCATATTCCTAACTTCCACCTCTATTTCACGGAGAGAGCATATCTGTTGGTATAAAGGTGTATAGTTTGTCTATCCACTTAAACATATTTGCCCTTTAAAAAGGGCCAGTGAGGGAGAATTTATCACCAAAGGAATAAATATCTAATGGTGGAACTTCAGAGGCTAGAGCATTGGTGGGAGAAAAAGGATGCCAGGAGTTTTCCCCTCTCAAATCATCTTAAGTTGATTACTGCCTACCCACAGGGCTTGCTCGGATACAAATACCTCTGTACTTGACTTCCCTTGATGAAATGTCCAGACTGGATTAAGGGGAACAATGCGGAATTAGAGTGACCTGACCAAAACACAATGGGCAGGTTTTGCTGCAGCCATTCTGAATTCCACAACTGGCTTTTCAAAGCAGTTTCATAAATAGCAGAGAAAAGAGCAAATAAACTTCCCCAAATCTTTGAAATCAACACATGGCTGGTCTTTAGTAGTCAAGTAATGGCATCTTGACTTTCATCCTCTCTAGCACTGTTATCTTGTAATATTTTGATTTTCATGAGTAGAAAATCCTGTTGTCCCAACTAAAGTATAAATGGCAAAGGCCTAGGAGTGGGAGTTGGGGGGGATAAACAACAAAGGAGATTAGAGAGGGAAAAATCAGAGTCTGAAGGAGAGAAAAGGAAAGGGAAGGGAAAGGAAAGAGGGAAAAAGAACACATGTGGTAGGAATACTCATTATGCATCAAATAGTTCAGACACTGAGATATACATTTTTACATCCACTGTTTAATTTAATCCTCATAACAACTCTGCAAAATAGTCTCTCCATTATTCTCATTTTTACAAGGAAAAAAACTAGGTTCGGAGATACTCAACAATTCACCAGGATCACACCTTGGTATCATTCCCTTACTGAAGTGAGACCCATATAGCTAAAAAGTGGTCTAAACAGGATTCAACCTCACATCTGCTTGACTATAGTGCTCTGCCTTTGTACGCAGTAATTGCTTAATGAAGCGGCCTTCTCACAAATAGCAGTAGCCTTGGGCTCCAAGCTTTAGGCCTGCTTCCTGGGAGCTTGTTGAGCTGACCCTTAACTGACCACACTCACCCACCTACCCACCAGGACCAACCTCTTTAGGAGCCTCTGTTTGAATAAATTCTTCATAAATTTGCTTTGCCTTCTCAGCCATCTTGGCAGTGGACTTGATCTTTTTGTAATCCTCACAGGCAATCCAGAACTCAAGGTTTTCCTCACTGAATTCAGACTTCAGGAAACTTTTGAAAATTGCAAGTCCATCTAGCAAGGAAAAAAGTCAGTTGGGGAAATTTATTAATTAATTTAATAAACACTCTACCCTGCTGTATAGCCGAGGCTTACTCACTGTATGTTTCTGTCATTTATTTAAGAACCTTATAAATGTTAACATTTAATTCTCATTACAAACCTAAGAGGCAGGTGCTGTTAATATCCCATTTTATAAATGAAGTCAGAGAGGTCAAGTGACTTGCCCACAGATAACCATCTGGTAAGTGGCAAACCCAGGCAATCTGACTCAAGGGTCCATGCCTTTATCCATTATCTTACACTACTTCTTAAGAGATGTATGATTCAGATTCTTGGAATAAAAACTGTCCAATAATGGCTGCCTGCTTTCTACTGCACTTGGACTCAGAGAAAAATACAAGGCCAGCACAAATGTCGTATCCGTGCAAGCATGGGAAAGCTATGCTATCCTAGGCACCAAGATTTAGTTCATTCATGTCCACCTTCCCTTATCCCTTCATTTAGACGGAGGAGGTATAGGACAGAGACGTAGGGAGATAGCAGAGAACAGGGAGCTTCAGCCCTGCTCATCACAGACAGTCATAAAGAACTCTGGGACTGGACAGAGGGATTTACCACTGTGTCTTCTAAAATAATTGAACACAGTGTATGTTTCCATGATGAGTGTTTACCTGCCTATGGCACCCAGGAACACTATTAACACTGATGCCAGTCTGGAAACTCAGCTATCAAAAAGGAAAGAATGAATTTAAAACTTGGTTTGTCAGTATAAGTAATATTAACGTTGAGTATCATGTGTAAACTACTTACAAACCTTTTTTTTCTTTCTTTCTACACATGATTTTTGATCAACTCTTACGTTCCAGACACTATGATAAGTCACTGTGATAAGTAAAATAGACATGGCTCCTGCCCTGATGGAACTTATAGATTCTGGGGGAAATAGAAAAAAAAAAAAAAAAGAAATACAAAAAACATTTACACAATAAAGGGGAAACTACATGAAAGACAGTGACAGAGTAAGTGAAGTTAGTAAGTGAAGACAGTGAAGTTAGGAGGGTCTTAACTTCATTTTAGGCTTGGGGAGGGGCAGGAAGGAACCTTCAATCTGAGACCTGAAAGGCGAGTGGGAAGGGGCCAGATAAAGTTACCACATACAGAGGAGTTCTACATCCATCAATTAGACTTCCGTTTCTAAAAAGTAATACATTTAATGCTATTATAACTATTGCAATTTTGTTTTCATTGCACTACTGCTCATGTAGAATAAACTTCAGCTTATAATTTAAAAGTATAAATATATATGTACATAATGCACGTATGTGTATGTGTGCGTGTGTGTGTATATATATATATATATATATATACACACACATATATGTATATACACACATATATATGAGGATTCTTGGGCCCTATCCTTTTCTTTCTTGTTTTTTCTACCCTTCCAGCACTAAACTCCAAAGTGAGTAGAGGCACTGTGAAGATTTAAAAAGACATTAGAGATAAATAAAGGAAAAATCTAAATCTCCAATATTTTCCTTCTCTTTAATGCTGAATATATATATATATTTTATATATAAGGCTGAACACATATATACACATATAACTTTTTAAACCAAAATTCTAACAAATGTCTATCTATAGGAAGAGAATCCATACTCTATTATCTAAGAAAAATAAAGATTTCTAAAGGGAGGAGAGAGAAAACCTCTAATTTTCCACAGGCTGTGTCAAAATCACAGGCCTACCCTCAGTAACACGCTGGCATGTCACTTTGTCTACCAGGGCAGAAGGCAGTACTGGAGGATCTGGTTTTCTTCTAACTTGTCCCCTCCAGGTGACATTTCTGCAATCCATTAGTTATGCTCAGGGAACACGTTCATGCTCTAAATTCATTTCCTTTGACCTAGTTTCAATCTATTTCCCTTTCCCTGAATATTTCTCCCTACTCCTTTTTATAGACTCTAAATTTCATTTATTAGTCATTGCCTAAAACATTAATTTCATGCAACAAGCACAAAATGTATGTGACAATTTAACCAAAGATACATATTCATCCTTTTTTCAATTTTTATGCATTTTTATTGTGTTTATGCCTTTCACAGTCCCCTGCAAACAAATTCAATTCTAAAAAGAGAATGGCTAGAGTGATAATTAATTTGGATTAGGGTCACCATTGATTTCAGGATCCAAACAAGACACTTTGCAATTTAATTTCCTCTCCCTGTACTTACCCTAAAAACATTTTTTATTGATCAACACCTGGAAATATATCTGGGAACAACGGTAAGTATCGTAGACAATTTTCTCTAGAAACCTTACTAGAGGAATTACTTTAAAACCATTTGATAACTTAGACCTGGATAAAATCAGGTATATTTTCTCTCTCTCCCTATATGTATTTCCTACTATAACTCCTGCACGATTTGTCATAATTTATGACACAGGAGTCAACATTACGCTGAAAGAAGAAATAGGACTAGTTCTTCCTTTGTCATGGTTAAAGTTTTCACTGTTTCTTAATCAAAAGCTGTCAGATAGTCTTTGTCAAAATAGAAAAATGCTCAGTCACTTTCCAGCTGCCAGGAGATAAAGTCTTATGAGCTCCCAATCATGTCTAAGATTGTGGAGGAAAAAATAACTCCTCAAAATAAGGCGATAAATGTATTCTCATTAGTCCAGTATCCCCACAACCAATCAGGCACTCTGAATCACCCATTCTGCATCTTTGTAAAATGTGGAGATAAAATTCAAGTCCTTCCAAACATTATCTATGACCTGATGACATATGCCAGATTCTGTAGCGATGTTAACATTTACTACTATCCAAGAACGAGCTTGCAAAATAACTTTCCAGTGCAGAGGCTCCATTTCCTGGGTACTGGTCTCATCACTCTCTTTGAATCCCACAATGTTATTTCAAGGCCTTTTGTCAGTGTACACACTTTAAACCAACATTTGTAAAATGGCTTTATACTGTCTTGGTCTAGGAGATCTTTAAAGCTATTCTTTCTCTCATCTGGCTTTTGAGCATTCTCTGAAGGGTTCCTTACTGGAACCCTCCAAAGCCACTCCTGAGGCACTTTCTCCACCTTAGTCTCTGGCTTTCAATTGGTACATTCCTCAAAGACTCTCTCTGTTAAATTCCCATTACTCCTGAGGAAATCCTCATGGGTCAGAATCAAAAACTCCAGGACAGATGTCTCTTCTCTGCAAGGAACACACACGTCTTTATTGCCTTCCATCATTCCCCTGCCCACTCCACACCCCAGGACACCCCCCCAGCATACATCCCTGAGAATTCACCATGTTCATTTCTGCTGAGCCTTTACAGATCCTCATAATACCTCTCAACATACCTCTTCAGGATCCACTACCTAGAAAGCAGGTTAAACACACCTGATCGTCTGGTCTTGTGGAACACTCTAGGTTGTGATCCACATTAGAATCCCAGAACTGGCCCTACCGAGTGGTGTTACTTTTGACATCCACATAAATAGCAGCCCTACCTAAGAACAAAATACAGCCCTACCTAAGAACAAAATAAAACCACCTATAAAACCACTTTGAAAATAAAAAGAGCATTAGACAAATCCAAGTTGGTTTGGTAAAAAGGAAAAAAAGAAATATTGAAAACTAGATTAGTGCAAATCTCTTCAACTGGGGGAAAAAAGCGAAATGTCATTAATAGTTGATAAATAGAATTCCATGGCTTATTGGTTTCAAGCATGTGCTCTAGAGCCCCAATTGCCTGGGGGTGAACTCTGGCATGCTATATTACCACAACAACTTGGGGGATTTACCTAACCTCTCTGAGCCTCTGTTGTCTCATATGTTAAATAGAGAAAATAATGGAACTTACTTGATAGGGTTGTGATGAGGATTAAATAATTTATATAAAGTCCTTACCTGTTGCTGAACATAGTTATCATTATGTAACTCAATACATACCATTTATAACAAGTTTAAAATTAATCTTTACCATCATTCAAAACCCAACTCAAATATTGCCTCATCTGTGGGGTAGTCTTTACCCACTACCATCAACTTGTTCTTGAGGATTCTTATCATTACGAGAGAAGAGACCATTTTCTGTTTTTTTGCTGGAATTGTTTGTTTACACAGCTGTCTTTTCCATGAGGCTGTTAATTCTTTGAGTTTGAGTTTTGTTTCACTTACCTCTGCCCTTTTTCCATCCCACCTCTTAGCCTGTGCACCTAATATTTAATAGAGGTTCCCATTGAACTAAATAAGACACACTAACAGAAGCATTTCATTCCAAGTCACAGAACCAAAGAACACAAACTTTCGAGAAAAACAAACTTACCAATTTTGCTCTCGCTGTAGTGTTTTATTTCATGGACAAGTTACCTAACCTCTTTGTATCTCAGTTTCCTTTTTTTGAAAAATAGAGATTGTTACTGTACCTAAGTTTTAAAATTATTGTGATCATTAAATAAACTAATATATGAAAAGTGCCTGGCACACGGTGAACAACAGATGTTAGCCATTGCTTTTTTTTTATTATAATTATTGTTCTAAAGGAAATTGTGGTTGCCAGTGAGTAAGATGATGATGAAGACGAGCAAGAAAAGAGAATAAAGAAAAGTGGAAACCAAAGAGAGAGAACCAAAAGGAGAGTGCAAAGACAGAAACAAGAAGATGGGGCTGGATCCAGGCTATTTTGTTCCCCATGGAAGAGCCACATATCAAGGATGTCTCAAGGAAAGGGGATCTACATAAAAACTTTGTATCTGGGCCGAGCCCGTGGTGCACTCGGGAGAGTGCGGTGCTGGGAGCGCAGCAGCGCTCCTGCCGCGGGTTCGGATCCTATATAGGGATGGCTGGTTCACTCACTGGCTGAGCGCGGTGCAGCCGGTCTCAAAAAGGACAAAGAAAAAAAAAAAAAAACCCTTTGCATCTACTCATCTGTGTTTCATTCTTTCTCTACTCTTAAGAACAGTTATGTGGGGGAATTACTTAATGTCACTGTCTTATTTAAACTCCCACGTGCAATCTAATTTTGTGTGTAAAGAACAACACACTCGTTATGTGCCCCATGGACCTACTAAATGAAAACAGATGGTTTCTCCTATAGAATTGAAGGCACAACATGTAAGAAGGTAAAACATGTAAGTTGATATCCTTTTAGAACAGAGTCAAATACATTGGACGATTAACAACTATTTTAAAAATGAAGAAAGGTAGGAGAAACCTTGCTAGAAAAGATTAAGTAGCAGCTTAACTGTCTTATTTTTTTTTAGAAGGTTGGTACGAATTCATTTTACTTCCACACAAGAAAAATTAAGATGTGAATTTAACAAATGCTTGGGGACTATACCAATCATGAGAGTCAATGTCCTACATTAGCACGAGAGAATGCCAAATGTCCCTCATAATTCAACAAAGATGCCGTTCCTCAAGATTAAGTGGTTAAAGTTTATCAAATCAAACATTCAAGAAGGGATGGCTAAGCTTTAGATGCATAGATTTCTCACATGTACCTTTCTTCATTACCCATTTTGTATCAATTATAGCTAATGGTAGGTATCTTCTGGTTATAGACTGTTCATCTTAACAAATTCAAATAAGAGCATCTCATAAGAACTGAGTTGCCAAAGTTTGGCTTAGAGTTTTTGTGGTGCACAGCAGCTGATGTTTTGGGGAATAAATCGAATGTTGTTCTTTCAAGTCAGTGTTGTTGGGGTAAAATGATTTGTGCCTGCTTATCATTCCACTGGTTTTTCTCTAAGGATAGCCAGACAGAGAGAAGCAAAGAGCAGACAGAGTGACGAGAGAGACACAGAGAAAGGAGAGTCATAGAGAGAAGCATAGAGAGGGGAAGATGAAAGATAAAGAAGAGAGAGACAAAGAGACAGTAAGAACAGTGAAATAGAGACGGAGAGACCGCCCTACTCACTGATGGCTTCGTGTCCCACGGAGCACGGCTTTCTCCTTCGTTTCTGTCAGATCTCTATACCCATACCATAAACCCCCTTTTTTTTTTAACTCAAGTTAGTTTCAATGAATAGGTGCCACTTTCAAGGGAAAAAGTGACTAGAATAGTTATCAAATGCTTTTTAAGTTATTGTTTTGGAAATATTAATAGCCCAAGTCTTTAAAATATTATTTACTTCAGAGCATAATTAGGTGGAACTTAAGATTATACACACATGCACACATACAAGAACACATAAACACACATACTATATACACAAATTCATACCCATATATACTTTTAAAATATATATTATACACAATAAAATGAAATAATGTATATTATTACAAACATACACAGGTGCATATGTATTTTCCCCTCTGAGAAGTAGAAAGTATTACTGTGAGAATCTCAAGCCTTAAGCTCACACCATGGTAATCATTTGGTTGCAAGATGAAAATCCTCAGTCCCTTAACAAATGCTAAGGTGTTAACACTAACTGCCTCTGGCTTAACTCCAACCCTTAGCTTTCTTATCCCAATAAACTCTCTGTCCTCTAGAAGCCTAAAATATATGAACAAGTGGCCCTAAGGATCAGTGTGACTGAACAGGATTGTATATGAGCACATAAATATTTATCCTCCTCCTTAAGAGCTTTGAAAACATGAAAGTTGCTCTGCTAACTTTCAGGTTTTTTGACAATAGCAATAGATACCTGTACTCAGGATACTTAGCATTTATAATTTATCAATAGGCCATGTGTCAAACTGCTATTGACTCCAAAACCACTAGGGTAAGACAGTAAGTCAACTGATAAATATTTTTCTCCTAGATGACCTCATAGAATTTCTAGGTCCAAGAGGAGAAATTCATTCATTCGTTTACTCATCCATTCAATAAATATTTGTTGAATACCTTATATGTGTCAGGGCAGGGTACTCTGTTGAGCCCAAGAAATAAAAGAGAATCAGACATGAATGAGATTGAGAAAGTACCAAATTAAAAGTTTTGGTGTTCTGTCTCCAAATAAAAAAGAGAGAGAGAGAGAGAGCAAGAGATAAATTGATTCTATCACAGGTAAACAGAAGCAAAAAGTGTGCACATACAATTCAACATACATCCTTTGTCACCCAGTCTGTGCCCATGTGCCCATTAATCATGATGGTCTTGTGAGAAATACTTTTTAAATCTTTATTTTTGCAAAGCATCTAACAATGTTTTATGGTCCATTCTAGTGGTGAAGATGGAGAAACATGGGTTACATATCGTAAAATGAATCATGCTTTTAGAGTGAATTATTCAGCAAATATTTGTTTTCCCCATCTTTGCACTTTCTGTTGTGAAATTATCCAGGTGAAAAAACTAAGCCCTGGATTTCGACGAGTTTATAATATATCATAGAAGGGTGACAACTATGAATAGAATACAAGGCAGTTTAAGTATTAAGTGGCATAAAAGACGTGCAGACAAATGACTCTAGAATTGAGAGGATGGATAAATTGTTTGGGATGGTCAAAGACTAAGCAGTTAATATTTAGATTAGCTCTTGCAGGAGAGTGAGAATTTCAACAGATAAAGATATGAATACAAGGTATTCTAGCCAAAGGGATTACATGTAGAAATCCAATATAGAACAGAGAACAGTTCAATTTTTTTACAGGCCAGCCATATACTTATGGTGAATCATGAACATTATAAATTTGAACTTGATACTGTAAGCTTTGGGAATGAGTAAGGACTTTGGATTGGGGGAAAGGCAAGTGGTACTCATTGGTGTTTCGGCATTAGTTCGGAAACAAACTTTTCACTGGTCAGCACCTTTGTCATGTCTTAAATGAAGATGTAAAAGCCATGCTGCCAGAAGAGGAAACCAAGGCTGGAGGAGATAACAACCCACCTCAGGTCACAAGGGTGGTTAATAGCAGTTTGAAGTAGGACATACTACCCATGACTTGTCCAGTGATCTTACACTGCTATAACCAATTCGTATCACTCCATTATGAGGCTAGACTGGGAAAGTTTCTCTATTTTGCTGATGAGAATATTACAAAGCACATAGGTTGAGCCAATTGTTCTGACTCACATAAGTAAGCAGGACAGATGGAAATACCCCTGCCACCATGAGTCTTCAGGTCACCTTATTTTTGCATTCTCCCACAGTCCCATGTTCCTTGCTGTTTTTGTGAGTTGGATAACCTTGTTCCCATGATACTTTTTCCTTGTTGAGACCACTTTGAAAAATTGAAGAAGTGTCAAAATTGGGGAAGGACTTGAGAAACACAGAGGTGTTCCGTGTCTCTGTCCCTACCCTGGTCCTTATAAAAAACAATGCGAACTTACAGTTGTTCTGCAGGAGCTTGTCCAGGGAATCACGCCACTGCAGGGCCTCATCCATTGAGGGTCTAAATCAAGAATAAGGAATGAAAAAGGTGACAGCATAAGTAGGAAGTTAGCCATATACACCAACAGTGACTTGTCCCATTTTTCTTAGATCAAAATGATACCACTGATGACTCATCATCAGGATAAGAAAGTCTGAGTTATTTTCCTTGTGATGATCAGGTTTAATGAGCTGGGTTTGCTATAATACATCTATATTGAACATCTTCATCTCTTTGAACAATTGGTTAGGTCTGTCCCTTTTTAGAAGTAGAGTTTATTTGTCATGAAGCTATGTCTTTGTATTCTTGTATATCCCATGACAGTGGTTCCAACTGTGGTCTTTCTTCCAAATATAAGTGAATGAAATCTGTTTGTCCTGTTACAGGGATTGTGCTCATGTTCACTGCCTTACTGCCTGATTTAATCAGCAGTGGGGATTTGGTTCCACATTCACATTCCAAGGCCATCTCATTCAGACTAGTGGAAGATGTACATGTAATGCTGCCTCACGTTGGGAAGGTGATCATAGCAAGTCAGCATTAAAAAACAAAAACAAAAACAACTAAGTGCATTTTCCTACTCAATTAGGACAGGGTACTATTTTTTAAGATTTACCATTTCTGAGAAGAAAAGTGTTTAATATATCCTGAATAAGAATGTTGCATACAAATGCTTGAGATGCTGACTCAAAATGAGAAGGTAATAGTCAACATATAATTTCCCCTTAGGCTGTTTTTATTTTAACATTCATACATGCAGGAACCCTGCAGCTATTTCATTTTAACTGCAGATCTTTCTCTCCCAGCAGGATGTGTCGGGTCTGGGAGACTGTGCCCTCCCAGGCTCACCCTGCTTGAACTCCTGCATTGCCATGTGACTTCTTCATTGTCAAGTAAGAACAGACTGACGGAATATTAAGGTCAATGGAGGTGTTTTTCCTAAACTGGAATTTCCGTAGCTCTTACATTGTTTCCCAAATGTCCAGACAATCCAGGAAAATTCCTGCTTCTAGTATTTTATAGAATAATATTTGGGGGCTTCTAATTATTCAGGTTAGCCACTGGCAATGATAAGACAACTGCTTATTCTACTTTTCATTTTGCTGCCCCAGGCTCAGATTCAGCCCTATTTTATTTATGTAATAAGGAGTCCAAGACAGCAGTAAGTTTTCTGGCTAACATATGGTGAGTAAGTTCCTTACTTCTCTATTCCTCATTGCAGAACATTTACAGATTTTGAGTCCTAATTGTATAACTTTTATAAAGTTTTATGTGTTCATTCTCTGAAAGTTAAAGTTGCTGAAAATGAGGGTAATAAAGCTTGTGAAATAATCTAAGATGATATCTGTTTTCCTGGCTAGAAACAAGATTAAAAACGTACTACTTCCTCGAAAATTTATTTCTAACAAGTGAGCTGCCTTCCTACTCCTCTTTTTCCTCTGGCTGCTATAATGGAGCACAGGAAGGGGAAATGGCCTGAAGAGGAGGTTACAAGTGTGTTTTACTTTTAACCAGGAAAAACAACTTATTTTCTAGAGGTCGGTCAGTAACTCCTTTTGTCTCCTGTATATTGCCTCCTATTGAGAACTCTTTCCATGTACATATTATTTCATACCTGCATAGGTGCAAGTCCTTACAAATCTCAATTTCTTCACTACAGTAGGTTCAATGTTTTGCACATTGTAGACAGACATCAAGTCCCTATTAATTGTTGACAGAAGCAGCAGGACATTAAGTTACTGAACAAAAAAACTGACTCAGAGCAAAGGCAAGACCTGGTTCACTCACTGAATTTCATGATTTTATAAATATTCCCATAAAATGAAATCGCCTCCTGACCTCGTTTTCTTCTGGTTAGTATAGAGGAGCACAGGAAGAAGAAACACGAGAAGGTGCACCAAACTTAAGCATGTTACCAGACGTGATTTGTCCAAAGTGGTCTTGTGAGACCAGACTAATGGTCAATATCAGCAACACATCACGCCCAAGATTAAATTCCTGAAAAGGACATGTGCAGAGCCCGCTTGGGGTGAAATTAGTCCAAATTGATTTAAGGACACGGTCAAGCAGGACACATCCCCCACAGCATGAAGCCCAGTGTTCTGATTACCAGCCTAGGGGATAACGGAGGTTCATCGTGTCCCGATTCTCAGAATTTGCCAGCCCTTATTAAGTCTGACTTCTCTGAAAGCAAGTTAGATGCAGATGTAAATGACCAATAAGCATCCTGGTTTGCAAGGTCAAATAGCTCCCCACACAGGGTGGACCTGAAGTCTCTGTGTGTGGGTGTGGGGGAGAGGGAGAGGAAGCCAATTCAAATGAAAGGCAAGATAAACATTTACAGAGATGATTAACTGCGTATTTTAGAATGCCTGGTGTAAATGCTACCTGGCTGGGGAACTGACTATCTTTGCTGGAAGTGCTCTCTCTCTTTACTGTACTCTTACCACATTTACTCAATGAATCTCTCACATGGCACTGATGTACATAAGGTATAGCCCGTCATGCACAAAGAACTTTTTGCACTCTTCCCTATCCTATGGCATATCTCCTACTACATCCATCCACCCTACAAGGAATGTGAGTCAGATTAACAAGTAAATGAATGATGGTTCATATTACCCAGAGTTAGCCTGGTTGATGAAAGCTGAAATAACCCAAAACTTAGATTTCAATGACTAGTCCCATGAGCCATCACTATAGCTGTTGGCAACTCTGACACTAACTTGCTGTAACCATGAGAAAGTGTTTTAAACCTCTCGCAGTACCAGCAGTTGGGTTTTTTATTGTTGTTGTTTGGTTTGGTTTGGTTTTTAATCTATACAGCGCCTGACACATATTTAAACATTCCTGGTAATGTTCTCACATGCTCTTGCTCTTGCCAAGGCAAATGAAATTCAAGTCATTTATTGGACTTATAAGTGCCTGCCCTGCTCTTTCTTTCTGCACTTGAGTGCAGGCGACTCATGGCCAGGCTCAAGTCCATGAACATTCATTGAGCCCTCAGACCATGGCCAACAGTGACACGGGCATCACGGATAGGGATACAGATTTTAAAAAACTGTTACTTTTTGGGGTTCATACGTGCACCAAAAACTGTACATACAACTGTAATCCTTACATTGAGGCTCGCTGTGCAGTTAACCAGGCAGGAGTATGTGCATGAAAACATTCTGTAACTGTTCTCCACTAGCATGGGCTAGGCACTGTTTATGTGTGGAAGTCATTCTAGAGCTATAAAATGGTAAACACAACAACAAAAATGTAGTTAAAAATAGGTGACATAGGCAAGAAGAAAAAGGAACATTTAGAATATAAAATAAACTATACGTATATCTGTATCAGCTCCTAACATTTTGCAACTGATTGTATTATAAGCTATGATAACAGTTATCACAAAGTAAACTTACGTGGTTGACTAATTATGTCATTTTCAGGAATTTTATTCCGGCCATTAGGTGCAGAGCCTTAGGGAATGCTCATATATAGAGGGTGGGCAACAGTGGAAAAGGGAAAGGAAAGGCAGGGGGAGAACATAGGAGTAGAAATTGAGGAAGAGAGTTTTAAAAAGGAGGTCAGCTGAGGAGCAGTCAAGTTCTACAGCTGAGTCAAAGACGAGGCCTTAGAGACAACAGCTGCAGAGCAGTAGTGAGGCTTCAGCCCAGCGAGGAGATAAGGAAAATACTGGAAAAGTGAGTGTCAACTTCTATTTCTAGAGTTAGCCAAGGAAAGTAGGCGAAAGCTCTCAGAACAGAAGGGGCGAAGAGCTGCGAGAGTATTTTTCAGTACTTGTTCGTTCACAGTGGAAGAGGGTCCAGAGGGAAAAAGAAAAATCGAGACTACTAGAATGGCAACAGAAGATGGCTCTGGGGAGTAAGGATATGAGCAGCTTTTTTCTATTTTCTCAACACTCCAATTTTTTTTTTTCCAATGAGAAGGTAAAAAAATAGAAAATGTTCTTTTTAAAAAGGGATTCTACTGATGTCAATCACCGAAAGAAGATGAAAGGGTTTAAAAATACCTTCAGTCAAGAGAAGGTTTATTTTCTTCTCAGAGAGAAGAACATGGAGAAAAATTACAGGGAAATTTTAAAAATACAAAGAAAAATCGATTGAGCTCACGCAGAACACGATCTTTTCCTGTCCAGTAAATTCACAAAAATTTGCCAAACATGAGGAGGTGAGATGAGGTCCCTGGTTTTGGAAGAGAGTGGGAGACTTTTTTAGTGGTCACTCTTAAAAATGCAGTGGAGACACACAAGTATTCACACAGGATTTGAAGGATATTTCCAAAACAATTCAGACTTCTGTAAAAAGAAAGAGGACGGAAGACAAGAGAAGCAAATAATCCAATAAATGTCAGCTGCAGGTTTTCCTTCAAAACTGCTTCTCTCTGAATCCCTGTTAAGCCACATAGTTCAAGTGTCTATTGGGTTATGAAAGCAGAGAATCAAAGCAGGACATGTAGTACTATAGTTTTTAAAGTTAATTCCAACAGATCAATAATTACCACACTGTTTACTTCAAAACAGACTTTTTGACCTGTCACTTCTGTAAAATGTGTGTCTTATTCCTCACTCGGGCTCGATGCCTGCTGCTTCACATCGAATCAGCTTCCCCCTTTTAATATGTAGAGAACTCAATTATGCCTCACTTCCAGTTTGGGATCACTTTGAAGCAATAAAAAGAGAAGAATAAAAATATCTACTTAGACTAATGGGAAAAGATTTTTTTTTTTTTTTTTTCCGTTTTGTCTTTTTTCGTGTCCGGCAACAGATCGCAACCCTCAGTGTCGCTCCCGTACCGGACCGGGACCGGCAACGGGATCGCAACCCTCGGTGCTGTGCCCATACCTCGCTCAGCCAGTGAGCGGGAACCGGTCTGCATGTGGGATCCGAACCCTCGGCGGGAGCGCCACTGCGCTCCCAAGCAGCGCACTGTAGCAGTGCGCCACCGGGCCTGCCCGGGAAAAGATTTTTTAAAAGAATAACCCATCTCTCTATCTCCCAACAAATCCAGCTATATTAAGTCGAAGGTCATTTGGGGAAGGACAGGTTGGCCAATTTATACAAATGTTAAATTGAAAAAGAGAGATGGAGGTTAAAAGGGACTTCTGTATTTTTACCACACTTCTGTGATCTCCTCAAAGCTTTTAGGGTAGCAGAGTGAAGGAGGCTGGATACATTTGGGTTTTTTTCCCTCCTTGATTTTTATGGGTATTTCTGTTTTAAAAAGAAGATGGAATGCATCTGTTTAGGCAGTGATGGTCTATGTAGTTAGTGGAAGGATAATAAACAATGAGAATGTAGTGTTAATTAATTTAGTGTAGGACAAATGTAAATTGTGAGAGTGGGACTCACTGCCATAACATCTTGACTCTTTAGAACTACAGTTTCCCAACATGCCTAAATTGACAGGAGGACGTGTGTATAGAGAGGTGGGGGTGGGGGAGGCGTGAGGGAGGATTGCAGAAACCCGATCAGGAATATTGACTTATTGGTTGGGAAAAATACTTGATGTGTATGAAATAGAAATAGCTGTCAAGTATTCATTTCTCCCTTAAGTAAGTCTTCTGCTCCTCTGTTGGACCTTGAGGGGACACTACTTTGGAGAAGTAACTACTAGACTTGAATTGTCTGCTTTGTCCTTAGTATCTTCCAGAGGGAAACGTTCTCACTTGCATCTTCCTGCTGAGGAAGCAGCCTTGGATATTTCTTTAGCAGGGAAGCATTGAGGGATGGTTACCTGACCCAAGGTAGTCAATGAACAGGTATTCAGGTATTTGTACTGCACTTCTGTGTGATAAATAACTGAGGAGGTGGCTGGTGCCATTTTGTAAAGCATGGTATGTCTCCCCAAAGATAAGTCAGGGCCCTATCTTCTCTTTTTAAAGTATTCTGACGATATTATGCTCCAGACATGGGATAGTAAAAAAAGAAAATAAGAAATGCTCATTTACAAACCAGCTCTCTGAGGGCTTTTAGGATCTTCAATGAGTAATTGAAGGGGGCGGTTCTACAGATGGGGAATGGCACCACACACTTGAACAAGAGCCATGCTCTGGAGGAAAATGAGTGGAATCCATGTTCATGACTCACTTCTGGGTCTTGGCTGGTTTCTCTGGCTTCTCATTATATGGAATGACAAGGTCAACAGCCGAGTCCGGCTTCTGGAGAAGAATTCCCAACTTGATCTTAATCTCCTTGGCCCTGAAAGAAAAGATGTATGGGAGAACAAGAACACGGCATGAGCACACAGATCTGAAAAAGAGATTTCTTTCTGTGTCAGAGAAATAAAAATGAACAAAATCCATTTCACTTATTTCATTCTTGTGGCAGAAAGAGTACTAATGCAGAAACCGGGATGTGTGAGTTCTAATAATTAACATTTGCCAAGCTCTTATTACCTCTCTAGTTAATTATCTCATTTTAATCTTAATTATTGTTTTAAATGTAGATGACAGATACTATAGTATTACTTCCATTTTATAGATGAGGAAACTGAATTTCAAGGAGTTTAAATAACTCACTTAAGATAACCCAGCCAGTATGTGGTGCAGATGGGACCAGAGCCTGAGCCATCTGAGCCTAGGGTTCACAGGTAGAACTAGTCACTGTGTTGCCTACCAGTCTTCCAAGGGTTCTCGTCCCAGCCATTATTAACAAGATGTATAGCATTTGAAAAAAATAGTCATTTTTATTGCCAGACTGGTCATGTGTAGTTTCCTCATTTATAAAATGACAAAGTTAGCCTAGATGTTTTCTTGAGCCATTTCCAGCTATAAAATTAAATGGTCCCTTCTTGGTGGTTTATTTCTCCGTGAAGTTTTCTTTTCCAGTCCCTTGCCCATTGCTCCATAATGGCCGTTGACATATCTTACATGCAGGGAGCCCTCAGTGGATGAGTATTAATGCCAATGGATTGACCATAGCAGCATTTCCTACTCTTTCGTATCTTCAGCACCTGAGTGAGTAGATATGGTCAGAACCGTGGGTACGCTTTCATCACAGGGTGCAACTCTTCTCAGCTCAGTTTAAAAACTAACTTCTTAAGCTATCCATCACTTTATCATGATACCAAACTCAAAAAGCACTACACGGATCTTAAATATTAATCCATAGGACAAGCTATTGTATATTGGGAGCCCCCCAAAGCTGTTTTTTCCCTGTCACATTAGCACTTGACATGTGCATTTAAGATAGGGCTTATCATATTGTGCTAGGGTTATTGATATATGTCTATTTTCCAAGTCAGATATGAGAACTCTGAGGGTAGAAGTCAAATCTTAAATACCTTTGAAACCCTCTGTCTAGCACGATGTTTGGCAACACAGTAAACATTCAAAAATTTTGCCAAAATGAACTAAAAATATCTTGATTTTGTCCCTCACAAATCTGCTAACATTTATCTGCCAGTCAATGCTAATCATAACCAAAGTCTTAAAGAACTGCGATAGGGTTCACAATGTGGCAGGATAGAATTTTGCTATAATAAATATGCTTTCCCCATTTATTCATAGGGAGACAGTGATGAGGAAATTTAAGTCAATAAAATGCCTAAAAAATCAGTAATTATGCATATTAGGAAGAAAAAGGAACCCTATTGTAGCAACTTACAAAAACCCCATACATATGAGGGTACTTCAAAAAGTTCATGGAAAAGAAGAATTAAAATATAATTCGAACCTTTCCATGAACTTTTTGAATTATACTTGTATCTAATTATCACATCATAATTTCTTTTAGTATAGTAAATATGATTTTGAAACTATGATTTAGAATTAGTCGCCTCTGCAGTGTCTTTTCCTTTTCATTACTTTCTGGTTCAGTTCTTTCCCTGGGACGCTCTCACTGACAAGCCACTTTGGGTCCCTCCCACGCCACATCAGATCGAGCTCAGTTGAGCACAGCGTTATGGAGAAAATGGGGAAAGTTCTGCTGAGGGAGCTTATATAACATAGTGAGTAAGAATAAGTGTTGCTTTGATTCCAGGCTCGGCAAGTTACTTAAATTATCTAAAGTTTAGTTTTTGTGCCTAAAACTTAGGACCGAAAAATAGCACATCCTGAGATTTTTGGTGGTGATTAAATACACGAATGCGTGTGAGTCACTTAGCACAGCACAGGACATATAATACCACTTCTTCAAAGTGAGTTCTAACTGCGTAGTCATTTTTCCAACCAAACTCAACCCGTGTTCCCTAGATTCAAGCACCAAACTGAAACATCCAAAATATTTCCCACAAGTTACTAAGGAATTACTGCACCCTCCATCTTCCATATTCTACCTCTGGAGACAAGATTTGCTCCTTTTATACTTTTGTGAAATATGAAGAATACTTTATCTGGGAAGAAATGCACATGATGTTTATGGCTACCCTCTGCTGGCTAATGTGTAGTACTGCAGTCAGAGACACAGGTCCACCCCCAGCCCGTGAAGAACTTCATTTGTAACACTTCTCCTGGCCCCACATGCCCCTACTTCTGTACATAAGGGAAATGCATGCAGCAACTGTTTCCGGTTACAACCTTGACCCCATATTGTACTAACCAGTATTTAGATAAAGATCATCTAATGAACATCTTTCATATGTTTTGCTTTTAGCTTGGTCAGCTCTTTAGGTTTTTGTTTTGATTTTTTCCCCCCTCTCAACTTCTGTTTCTTTTTCCTTTCATTCTTTTGCCCCATTTGAGCCATTTGCTTTTGTAAAAAGCAGAAAGATATTTGTGCGTGATCGCCTGGTGAAAAAGTAATAGTTGAACATTAGGGGTAATTAGGACAAGGAGTTGGGTGTTTTCAAAATAATCATTCACAAACTCATTCATTTAGTCCTTATTAATTTACTCATTGATCATGTTTACTTTGTCAGGCAGTACATGATACTTTCAAGGTGCTTATAGCCTACTGAGGTCTTAGACTTAGAAACAATCACAAGTAGCTGCTTAAGGAGAGAATATCCAGAAGGTAGCAGAGCCCTGGCAGAGGAATTACCAATGTCCCAAAGGGTGGTCAAGGGGTGTTCTCAGGAGAGACAAATGTGGAGCTAGAGAATGAGCAGCGGTTAGCCAGGTGGGCAAAAGAGGGACGGATGGGCCCTCTGGGCAAAGAGAAGGGTGTGCAAATACCATTTTAAGGAGTTTAAAAGTAATATATACTGTATGAATGTGAAGTGCGATAGGAAAAGCAGAAAGCTGTATGAGGTGAGGCTGCCTTACTCAGCATCCCCTTTTTGATGAAGGGATGGATGATGGACAGACCTCTCTCTAGCACCTAGCCTGCAGTAAATTCGATATGAAAACAAGAAACAGGTAAAACTATCGAAAGGTGCCTTCTAAGACTGTCTCTGTAAAGAGATGTCATCCCATCTTATGAACTCAATGTGTTTCAAATTTTCTTTGGCTAACTATTTCAGGATGCATTTTTCCATAAAAATGCTGCTCATAGATGGTGGTTAAATAAGACATCCCACAAAGGCTTTTAGGACAATGTTTTTTAAATGTCTTGAAAACCAGGATGAGTCAGAACCCTAGTGCTACTTTATGTATATTGCTGCTTGGGTAGTTTTTAGGTTTTTGTTTCTTTCGGTTTATTTTGGAGGGATGATCTAGAAATCAACTACCATTTATAACATTTCTTATACAAAATTATATTCTCCTCATAGCAGAACACTGGGTTACTCTTTTCTTCACGTTTGCCCTGGGGATGTACGGGAGAAAGGGAATGCAGTGCTTTGGAAAACACTTCTTTCTATGGCTTCATCTTCTGGCTTGCTATAGGCTCAAGTGTAGGACATTAAAAAGTTAGAATATGTAAGTTTGAAAGTCCATTGGACTAAATTAGGAGTTTGAGATCATTCCAAAAATGAATAATATTATATTTCTGCTAATAAAATGATAGTTTAATGACTGAATAGTTGACAGATGCTGAAGTTCAACCCCCTTTAATCATTTTGCTTTTTTCACAAAGTTACTCATTTGTTTTTCTCCTCAAGAGTTTCTGAAATACATTTCATCTTGCTTTTGGCCTTTATCCCCACCTCATACACATAAATATGGGGGGGAAAGACCAAACTAAATGGAAAATCAAACAAAACAAAAGCTCAAACCTACCAAATTATTTTCCCCTTTAAAGATAAACTTGAATGTATCTGACTTTAATTTAATGTCAAAAACAACTCTACCCAGAGGTAAAAATTTTTCTAATTGGTTTACTATTTCAGACTCAGTCTCTGGCTTTATTTGACTGCACACTAGGCATTTTTTTCCTGGCTACATTACATTAATGCTTGGTAACAAGAAATGATTTTTATCTCCTTTCCTTCCTGACCCCCTTGTTATTCTATGGTTTTACAAAGAAAAACTTGTTTTGAAATAAAGTCAATTGGAAATGCCTGGGTGAAAGTTTAATTCAAGGCTCGGTGAAAGTTTAATTCAAGTCTCAGAGAAAGATAATTCTCTAGAGGACTCGAAGTAGTGATTTCAAACAAAAAAGGGTTTGAATGATTCGTTTCAGCTATTCAAAATAGTTTGAATAATTTCTTTTGTGAGAATGGGTTGTGCATGGTGTAATGTTTGGCAATACAATTATATCCAAGCAAATTTACTGAGTACCAACTAAGTAGAAAGTTGTATACTAGATGTTCCAAGGGTTAGTTCCAAAGATGTTCCTTGTGTTGGAAACACTTAGAAGAATTGAACGTAGGACACATACATGTAAACTATATAGTAGATATTTTTCCAATCATTGATAAAAGTGAGTGGGATATAATAATAAAAGAATACAGACCCTACCTTCAAGGAGCTCAAATGTTTACTAATGTGATAACATGAAGATAGTGCAATGGAAGACATTACATACTCTAACAGCTGCCCCTACTATATTCCTAGAGCCCTCTGTATTTTTCTCTAATGTCATTTATCAATTTGTATTTATATCTCTGTATATATATTTGAGTACTATCTCTTTCCCATTACAGTGTCAGGTCCCCAAGAGCACGGTGAATATCTCTTTTGTTCACAATTAACAGCCTTAGCACTTAGCCCAGGGCCTGGCACTTAATAGGCATTAAATAAAGATTTCCTATATAAACTGATGAATGAATAAATGCATGAATGAACTGAATTGCTATATTATAGTAAAACTGCATTTTGGGGGTAGGGGAGGTGAAATATTGAGGTGTGGCACAGAATGAATCCCTGAGGACTAAGTTG